AGTGACCTCGCGTTTTGTCCTTCACAGAAAATAAACACAGCAAAACCATGGGGTGACAGCGGGGTTTTGGGCACAGGGGCGGCGGTGCCGTGAGGACACCCCTGGCAGAGCATCTCCAGGCGGTCGGGTTTTGGCATGTGCCTACGATCCCCCTTCCCAGCGAAGAGATGCCAAAGTGCTTTAATGAATCAGGTCCAAAGACTTTCCAGGAGAACCCTACAAAGGCTTGAGATCAAGCAACCTGAAATCTTTCCGAGCAGAGATCAGTGAAGACATTAACTGCTCAGCAAGTGCTTATAGTGATTTATATTTGAATAGGAATTGTACATTTATTTATTTTTCCAGACACCATATTTTTAAACCACTAATATTTTATAGTAGATTTTCCTTCCCCTATTTAAAGAACTATTTCCATGGGAAAAAAATCTCAGTACGTTTTTTATGTTGAGAACATTCTTTTTGCAAAAAAAAAAAGAACAAAAAAAATCAGGTAGGAAATGCAGCGATGAGCATCTTTGGCCTTAATCCTTCCCTTCGTAGACTGCAGCCATAATTGTTAGACCAAAAACAAACTGAAAAACAAAAATCTCCCCAGGCATTTCCCTCCCTCCCCGCCCCTCTTCCCCTCCCCGCGCTCCTCTTCTCTCCCCCTAAAACAGCTTTAACACCCGACGCGTTGTACAAAGAGATTATTGCTCTTACCTTTCGGTGAGAGTTTTACGAGTCGCTCGGACGTCCTTGCAAGAGACTTTTCTATTTTCAGATTCACAAGGAACGTGTAAATATTTTTAGGGCCGTTTATCTCCCGCTCACAGTGCCACGACCCAGCCGAGGAGGTCGATACTGTGACTGTTGCCTGCAGAAGACGTACAGGAGAAGACATCATCCATAAGGGACTGGGGAAGGAGAACCTATTTCCCAACCTTGCACATATACTAGAGCTCTTACGTACTGTATAGCAGCATCTCTCACGGGGACAGGAGTCTGATTTACACTGGAATTTACCAAGGAACTGGATTGTAGAGATTATTCTTGCATTTTCCTACAAATATATTTTGAAAGCATCATGTATTTCTGTCAATAAACATTCTTATGTAAAAGACTTGTTTCTTGGCTGAGGGAAAAGGGGTTGGGGGGGAGTGGAGTTTGTGCCCAAGAGCCCCAACCATCAGTTGTGCGGATGTTACAGCCGGGGAGGGTTTGAGGTTGTTTGGAAACCCAGCACAGGCTCTGCATGATCCTGCAAAGCAAGGGCATGGGAAAACACAGGACAAGCAGGAGCAAAACCAACCCAGACCTTCACAGATAGCGAACCATGGAGGAGCTTGTATTTTTGCCATGCAGCAGTATGATGGTGCTGAAAACACCTAATTAACCTCATTAGGTGCTGAAAACACCTAATTAACACCCTTAATTAAACAAACAGAAAATCCAGAGGGGTGGGATGTTCAGTTGATGTGGGTGAGGGCAGCCCCACCACAGCCAGGGCACTTCTCTGAACTATGAGTGGCTTTAGGCTGATTTTGGAGAGAAAGGAGAGGGAGTTTGCCCTTATTTCTGCATTTCATCCTTACTCACCTCCCCTTGCACTTGGGTAAGGAGGGAGTCAAACCTCGCACCCCTGAGCCAAAACCCCCTGGGAGAGGACAATCACGCAAGGGCAACAGCAGGGCCTGGGCAGTTCAGCATCTCCATTTGTCTCCTTCAATCCTCAAATTAAAACATTTTGTTCCCCATTAAGTTTCCACTTACGCAAAGAAAAAACGATTAATTTGGTTTGATTCAAATATTAGAAGTCAGTGGTTTGCATCAGCCAGTGTTCTAACGCCGTGTTCCTTCCCAATAAAAGCTCTTGCAACTGCAAAGCACGAGCTGGATTTATGGGACAGAGACCCAGCCCATCGCTGATTTTGGGAACAGGATATTTTCTCAGCTGCTCTGCAGTCAGAGGGGCAGGAACAGCGCCTGCCGCCCAGACATAACGCACCACCGCCTTCACAATTTCTGCACCATTACCAGACCTTCAGACGCTTTTCCATTCGCAGAAGCGATGTCAGAACAAAAAGATCTTAAACAAACACCCTTGCTAGCATATACATTTTTATTAAGAAAAAAAAATGAACAAAATACATTCTCTCCTTATGTACATTACATACAACATAGCTACATTTGTAGATACTCCTCATATATCACTCATTCGTTTATGTACAGCATGGGGCTTACATAGCAACCCAGAAATTATCAAAGATGATTTATGCCGAGGAAGAAAATTAACACTCCAGGCTGAGCAAAGTTTGTCTGTAAAGAAAAGGGCAGGATGGGGAACCACCAGAGTCCAGAACGATGCCCGTAACCACCACGGGCTCAACACGGGACCACTCAACGTTTATTAAAACTTATTAAAACACCAGTGCAGTTCACAGCCTTCATCACCCCATGGATGCTCCTTTCCAGCCCTGGGCTGCCTGCACCTCTCGGTTCAGCTCTCCTGTGGTCAGATGCCCAAGACAACTGCAGGACAGACACCAAAGGGAATTCAGACGGACACCAGCATCTGCAGGACTGCTGTAGAGATGCAAATACGTCAAGTTGGGTGGCAAAACGGGAAAAACAGCCACAGTCCAGACAGGGAGCAGACACTCACAACTCCAAGCAGTACATAGGGATAGCCACCTTTTTGGGGACAACACGGGGGTGTGGAGGACGCGATGATGAACATCCAAGATCCA